AAGTTTGCGTGTCTCTCTCTCTTATCTTTATTCTTACTTGCAATTATATTAACTGTGAAAACTAACCTATCCATATTAATTACTGTTCACTCCACCCACCAAATTCCGCACACAATCTAAAGTTCACAAGGACTCTAGATTAACACTCATTTTCTCGTTTTCAAAAGAAACGAAAAAGATTTTAAACTTGTAACAAAGTCTATTCACCCCCCCTCTAGACTTTGTATCTCACCACTTTGGGACCACCACATAGTGATCCTTTCCCACTTCCATTCCGGAATGGTAGGAGGGTGCAGCAACCCTGTCGGAACCTGGTGCTCAGCCTTGACTTGCTGACAAGTCAAACAGCGCGCAGTGAACTTGGAGATTTCCTTTTTCATAGCTGGCCACCAATAGGATTTCTTCAAATCCTGATACATCTTGTTACTACCCGGGTGCATAGTGTAAACGGTTCCGTGAGCCTTGCGCAACAAGCGATCCCTCACTCCACCGCGGGGCACCACTAGGCGTTCACGATAGTACAATACTCCGTCATTGCGAATTGCAAACTCGGGCCTCTTTCCTGTAGGAACTAACTCTCGAGTCTTCTGACAAAACTCATCACCTCTCTGTGCTGTACGGATCTCCTGCTCTAACGGAGATTGAAGCTGTAGCTCGGCTAACGATTTTCTGCTCAAAGCATCGGCCACGATGTTAGCCTTGCCCGGGTGATACTCAATGACTAAATCGTAATCCTTGATCAGCTCCAACCATCGGCGTTGTCTAAGATTCAGCTCCTTCTGGGTGAGTAGGTACCTCAAACTCTTGTGGTCGGTGAAGATGTGAATCCTCTCCCCAAAGATGTAGTGGCGCCAAATCTTCAAGGCGAACACCACGGCTGCCAACTCTAAATCATGTGTCGGGTAATTCTCCTCGTGAGTCTTACAATGTCTCGATGCATAGGCCACTACCTTACTCAACTGCATCAGTACACAAAACTTAAGCCGCTATGAGATGCGTCACTATAGATGGTATACTCGATGCCAGGGGTAGGTTGAATCAAGTCTGGTGCCTGGGTCAGGCACTCCTTCAGTTGATCAAAACTGCGCTGGCACGCTTCTGTCCACTCGAATTTGATGTCCTTACGCAGTAGCTTGTTCAATGGAGTAGCGATCGAAGCGAAGCCCTTAACAAATCGACGATAGTAACCGGCTAACCCAAGGAAGCTCCTCACCTCACGAACATTCCGCGGAGTCTTCTAATCCACTATGGCTGAAATCTCTCTGGGGTCTACCTGGATACCGGTGGCAGAGATAACATGTCCTAAGAATGTCACCTCACTCAACCAGAATTCACATTTAGACAATTTTGCATACAGCTTGTGCTCTCTCAACACACTCAAACCAATTGCAAATGTCTAGCATGCTCCTCCTGAGTCCGTGAATAAACCAAGATGTCATCGATGAACACTACTACGAACTGGTCTAAGTATGGTCGGAACACACTGTTCATAAGCTCCATGAACACTGCCGGGGCATTAGTCAATCCGAAAGGCATGACTGAGAACTCATAATGCCCATAGCGTGTTCTAAAAGCAGTCTTCGGAATGTCTTCTCTCTTAACGGAAATCTGATGGTATCCAGAACGCAGATCAATCTTTGAGAATACTGTAGCTCCTCTGAGCTGGTCAAACAGGTCGTCGATGCGAGGCAATGGATAACGATTCTTCACTGTGGCTTTGTTCAACTGTCTGTAGTCGATGCAAAGTCTCATGGATCCATCTTTCTTTCGAACAAATAACACCGGTGCTCCCCATGGGGAAACGCTAGGTCGGATGAATCCCTTTTCCAGTAGCTCTTGCAACTGAGCCTTCAACTCCTTCATCTCGGCAGGTGCTATACGATACGGTGTAGCAGATATG